TACATCCTTTTAATAAATTCACCTCCTTTGGTGATGGGCTCTAGAAATATTGGTGCCACATAAAATTAGGTTTTTGGATTTTGAATGAAGGCAGCTATAATGCATTTTTAAATATCTGTTCTGATTATCTGCTGGCCCCCATTCCCAGCTTATCTAGAAAACATGAACCACTTTTCAGTGCAAACTTCTTACCTACATAGACCTAAACGGTCACAGTATCAAGAAGACTACAATCCACCACTACCACCTGACAGTTTGCGTCATCCTTTACTAACAATTGGAAAGGATGCTGTTCATCTCAGTCTGGTAGTATGTGGGTAACTTGCTGTGAGCAGACATGACCTGATCTCGCCCACATCTGGGTCAGTCACACAAGGCTTCTGCAAGGAAAAAAAAAGGGTTGTTGTAACAGGATGGGCACATATTCACTAAAGACCTACTAGAGGGTCCAATTAGTAGATCCAGTTGCATTTCACAGCTATTAGCATGAAGCATTATTTCTCATACAGCAGATGCCATGGACTGCTGCAAGAGACCATGGCAGATGCTAGAAGATGCTCTTTACAAATTACCTGGCTGACAGTGCCTAGGAAGGTGCAGGTATTTAAGCTAAACCACAATATAGTAGAAAAGGAGCTATGTATATTCACCTTTTTATTTTATGTTTGACATAGCTGAATTTCCCAAATCTTCTTTTTAACCTTCTTTACAAAGTATAACTACTATTCCATTCTTATACAGTAGAAATACAGCTGTTTGCATATACACACATCTTGACAACAAGTCCTTGAAAGAATAAAGCAACGTGAAACTACAGAGCTAACACCTGCAGAGCACCTGCTTAGCTGCAGGCCAGGAAGTCTCTGCTAAGAAAGGCAATCTATCAGTGTTAAGGTAAAGTGCTTTAACTGAACTTGTAATGTTTGGTAATGTGGGATAATCAGAACTGACTCTCTGATACCACTCAGTGGTCATATTCTGGTTTACAAACTGTAATTGCTGCATTTCACTGAGGCCACCCAATATAAAATGGAATTGCTTGAATACATCTCACTGGTATAAGGAAGCGGCATTTTTGGATGACATGTTACCAACTCTGAACTTTTGAACACTGAATATACTTAAGAGTAAAATTAAGACACAAGAAGTGACATCACACAACGTTTTGGCAAGTATTTTTATGTTGACTTTATAGCTTTTTTGGCTTCTTTAGGAAATTCCTGCACGGTGAAAGGAATGAAGAATTCCAGAAGAGAGTTGACATCCTTCAGTTCCAGACTGTATTCTGCTGCTATTTTCTCTGCAGTCCATATTTGAGGATGAAGTTTATGATTATTAAGAAGTGTCAGAGCCTCCACAATGGAAATTTTGCCTTTGGAAACTTTCTTAACATCTAGAGCTCCCAAATGGCCTAGTTTTGTAAGTCTCTTTTCCTCCTGTTTACAAGGAAGACGTTCTCCACCTCCATCTTTTACCTAATTGTGGGAAGGAAAACAAAAATAACTTAGCAGTTCTATTTACTATGCATACTGTTGCAAAGCTATTTTCCTAAATATGGCATTTCACATTACCTTTCTCCATTTTCAAAAAAAAAAAAAAATCTTAGCCAGCCTTGCTTCTTGTCATTTCTTCCACAGCCATTCTACATACAACTACCTACATGTCAACTCCCAAACAAATGCTGAAAAGCATCCCATCCATTGCACTCTAAGTGTCGTACAGACTTGGCAGCCCTTCATACAAGGCAAACTACAGATTTTGGTAGCCAAACGTAAATGCAAATAACCTAATACTTGGTACTGATTCACTGCAAGGGACAAAAAAAAAATCATACAAAAAATTGGTATCCTCCCGATACTACTGGAAAACTTTTTTATGTAGTCTCTCTCCCTTTCCTTTCATATTCAAATTTCAGTTTTGCTACTAAAAATATTCCTTCCTTTGCTGTGTCTAGAGAACAAGCTTTCCTGGACAAAAAGAAACTATTCTGCAGCATCATATAGAGTTTAATTACCATGACTACTGAAGCACAAAGACACACCAAAGTCTCTTCTCCAAGGTCCCTTCATATTTCCAATTAATTTCCAAACCAGTTTTGGCTTCCTCATATTGCCTCTTATTAAGATTTAACCAGTGAATGACACACACACACACACAAAAAAAAAAGGACACAATTAAGTCTTTCTTAAATTTAAGAAAAAGTACTTTTAAAGTAATCGGAGTCCACAGCCGCTGATTGGTGCATAAACACTCTGTATTAACTCACGTGCTGAGAAAACTGATGTGGATGCTACAACATCTGCGTGTCTGTTTCTAAACTACAGTGAACGTCTGATCTATCCTGCATGTATCCCTTCTACTTTGTGCTAAAACTGTGCTCAGATAATGAATGATTTTTCGAGTCTTGATTAAATGATCTGTCTCTGGGCATCTGCCACTTCATGACTCCAGAGCTGGTGTTTTTCCACCTACCACATACAGACATACCAATCATACATAGAGGTAGGTACACGTAATGTACACGATGCTCAAAGTTGTCAGTATGACATCTGGAACGGAAGGAAGCTTTTGGATTAAGTTTTGCCCATAGGTCTCTGTGTTTACACATCAATCATATTCTTCCTAACAACTACAAGCAGACACACACACAAGCAAGTGTGTGTCTTATGTGGTAGCAACCTCAGAGTAGGAACAGAATCAAGCAAAGATTTGTTCTGCTTTTGGCTTTTTCTCAAATCTCTCTTGACAGGCTTATAAATGAATACTGAAAAATACTAAAATTAGACCTTCGGCACTTGAAGATTAAGGATAGGGATTACATAGAAACTTCAGGGAGAGACTGAAGAAATCTGTTTGCATTTTAAATATTTTTAGACTTGAATAAGTGGCAAATTAGAGAGACATAGGAATTTTCTGATTCTAAAAATTATTATAAAAATTTTATTATTGAATGAAGTAGCTGGAATAAAGTGGTCCAATATATAATAATAATGGCCAGTCTTCGCGAGCGAAGATCCGGGGAAGGTCTTTACACCTTCCAGCCTGCGCATTGGATTTTTTAGGTGAGACACAGTGTGCACGGAACTGAGCCCACCCTTTAATCCTAAGGTTCATCTGCCGGGGCCAAGCGAGCTTGGACGGTGGCAGCGAGGTCCTGAGTGGTCCAATAATGCAACAGGTAAAATGCACAAGTCACAACATAACAGGATGGAAAACAGGACAGAACCCCAGCCTGCGTTTTGCTGAATGAGAAGGAGTATGCTTTCCCTTCCCACTGGCAATTAGGAAACTGATAACCATATGAGCCGTAAGGTTATGCAGAAAAAACCTAAGGCGCTTCATCAGCCAGATAAGAAAAAGTCTCTGCACTATATGGCATGAACATCAGTAGTTAGATTCCATTAAAATGTTAACATCTTTGTTCTCTATCACATCCCTGCTGCCACAGCAGTCCCAATCTCTTCTTGCAATATCACAAGCGATCTCTGGTAAATTCTTGTGTCTTTGCAAAAGGCTGGACAATTGCCCAAATGAGAATTTAAGTCAAAAACAAAACAGCATCAACACAATGTTAAAAAGGAAGACCCTGTAAGCATTTAAAACTTCTATAATCACAGTCAATCACATGTTCAAAACACAGGGTCAGACACAGTCAGCACTATGCTACTGAGGTATAGAAGAGTAATAAAAACACCACTTTTATCTACTACAAGAAAGTAGCTTTTAGGCATTGACAGAGTATTTTTCTTGACACAAAATTTGTGCTGAGTTTGACAACCCCAAAGCTGATGCTGGTATGGCTTCTACAAAGAGACATACTCACCCGTACTGGTGGATCTCTGGACTCAACATAAACATCTTTTAGAAACGTGAGAAGCCTCTCATCCTTTCTTATAATTTCTTCTTTTACCTCTGGCTGATCTAAACGTAGTGAGGAGAAGAAGGGAAGGGGTAAAAAAAAAAAAAAAAAAGAGAAAAGACAGATTTGAGTCAAACTGTTCCTTTTTTGTTAGTTCTGCCAGCTCTCACTGCTTCCCTGGGGAGGCACGGCACGACTCCTCCAAACGTACGGGCCTTCCTGGCAGGTTGTCATTCTCCCCACAGCTCTAGCTGTAACAATGCTGCTTCACACGGCAGTGCCGCCCGGATCACCTGCACTGTGGGAAGCACACGCTTGTGGGAAGCTTCTGGAACACTGGGCACAGATCTGCAGTACCACTCCAGCAACTGTCCCTAGCAACAGCCCTTATCAATTGCTCCCAGGAACTGCTCCAGTAAGTGCCCCAGAGACTCCCCCAGGGACCACCTGCAGCACCCACTTCCCTCAGCTGCCCCCACGCACTGCCCCAGGAGCCACCCCCAGACCCCGCCGCGGCTCCTGGCATGCCCCGCGCACCCTCCGCTCTCAATGTCACCGGCCCGGCCGCGGAGCCGCCGCCCCGCGCCCCCCTCCCCCGGCACCCCCTCTCCCTCCTCCGCCCACGCCACGGCCCCGCGCCGGGCCCACAGACACCACCCCCCGCCGGCAGCCTCCCCCTGTGCCCCGGCCGGCGAGGCCGGCACGCACCGGCCGTGGCGTCCAGGCGGGCGGTGGGGTGCCGCGGCGCGGGCGTGGGCTTCTCCTTGCTGATCACGCGGCGGGCCCGGCTCTCCACGTTGAAGGTCCGGAACACGCGGGTCACCCGCCCGCCCATCCCCGCCGCCCGCGCCGGCGCCCGCGGCGGAGAAGGCACCGGAAGAATTTAATGCACCGGAAGGAAATACCCGAATACCCCGGGCAAAGGGACGAGCAGACGAAAACCACGGACAAGACGATTCGCTTTTTTTATTTCAGGGCGCTCCGGGGCGGCGTTGGTGCTGCCGTGGCTTTCCTAAAGGCGTGTGGGCCCGGAGCCCCCGGGAAGCCGGGAAACCGGGCGGGTCCTGTCGGGAATGCTCCCGAAGCCGCACGCTGGCACGGAGTTTCCTTCTCAGCCGGAGCCGCTGGCGCAGGAGCGCAGGAGCTCCCGTGTACGTCATGTCGTGACTGTCGCCGCTTGTGACTGGGCGGAGATGCGCTCGGTGGGGCAGCGCGGAGCTGCGGCTCGGCTCGTAACCGCACCGGGGCCTCTCGGCGTGCGTGACGCGTCGCACCCGCTTTTTGAATGTTTCCAAGCTTTTACTTGGATCAGGATAACGTGGAAGTATTTAGGGATGTTCTGCCTTACGCTCTCGTTAACGTGTGTAGCGTTTCCTTATAAGCATCTCACTGGTTTAGTCAGTAACAGAAAATTAAATTTTATAAGAAGATGTCATCTAGAAGACCTACTTTACGTGGAAATCCGGACAATTCCCCCGTACTGTTCAGAGTTTTTAGGCTATAAAATGCCATCAGGGTGTAGACCCTCTTTTTCAGCACAGCCAACTAACATTTCTTCTGACTTCTGCAAAAATTGCAGAAGAAAGACTTGAGAGGAAGTACTGAGAAAGCTTTGAGCCATGCAAGATAATAAAGGTAACACGGTAGACAGAATTAAAATTTTTGACATGGAATCAGCAGTTTATAGGTTCAAGAAGCAAAGCATGAAAAGATGCAGAATCAGAGAAAGGCGAGCAGAAAGAGCAACACTAAGGACTTTCATCCTGATGCAAGAAACAATAGAGCCTGATGGTCGACCACTTGTTTCAACCAGGACTCATAAGGTGTCTTACCAAAAGAGATTAGTGTCTTACTAATTCTAGCTATGTGAATTAGTCAACAAGTAATTCCTTAAAGTTGTGTATATGCTCTTTGCAGACTCTTAAGGCATGGTAATAGTTGCCTGAATGAAGTGACTTGGAGCAGGAATGAGTGAAGGACAGAGAGAAGACTGAACTTCTTGCTGTACTCTTTTTTTTTTTTTTTTTTTTTAAGTGTTTTCTGCCCTTGCATCTGTATAGTTCTTATTATTGTGCACATGCAATGCTTGTGTTTTCAGATTTTGGTCTTCTACTAGTAGCACTACTTAGTAATAATAATTATGGTGTGATATTTATTAAAGCTGCAGTATGCTTGAACACTGGATTAATAAACAACAATGTTTTCCTTGAAGGGAAGCCCAAAGACAAGTTGGTGGATGAGGAAAAACAGCTAGATTCAGAAAGACAGTGGAGACAAGGTAGTATGAGCATGGTCCATGCTGGATCTCTGTTTGCTTTGGGCATCATGAAGGTGCAGTTTCTCCACTTCTTTATTTTAAGGACTCTCACTGTCTGTAGGAGGATAGAAACTGGAAATAAACTTACTGACCCTGTCTTATTTTGGACATTGCGTGTGTGATGATACTAAAAAGACAAGTGATATCTTGATAATAAGAACAGGGAAGCTGTTAAAAGGTTCTGAAGTCAGACTGGAGACAAGTAATTAAATATCTGTAGTCAATTACTTGCAGACTAAACCTGTAGTTTTGAGTACAGGTTTTGATACTTTTGTAAGTGTTGAGTCTGTCTGGTGTGGCTACAATGGAAGAATCCACATGGATACCTTTGGAGGTTGTAGACCTTTGATGTGTACTTTAGCATTTCTCTGAGACGTTCTTATTGATCTGTCTGCGGATCAGCCAGATTGTGCCAAATTTGGAAACAAAGATTTTCCCTTCAAAAGCTAAGAACTGCCAACGTCTGGTATCAAACTCAGCACAAGGCTTCTGTCTCCGTAAAACCTGAATGTGATTAACACTGCCATAATATTTACTGACAGCAAAATAAATTCAGCAGAAGGCAGTCAGTTAAAAAACAAAGAGTGATGTCATGCTCTGCCTGTCACTTCCTAACACTGAGGATGGCACAAGGCTGTTCTTTTCATGTATAAAGAAGAATCAGAAGTGCAAGATTTTTATTTTGAAGATTCTTTCTTAGACTGTAGCAAGCAGAAGAATTGAGATGGAAAACTTTTTTTTTTTTTTTGATAATTTGGTATTTTACCAGTGTGACCATGGCTGATATTAAATATCAGTAATCAAGAGCTTGGATTTTTTTTTCTATATAAGGTATCTATAAGTATGATCATTAAAAAATTATTGTGTGTGTATTTAGTGTAGGTAGTGTTTCAAAAGGGTTACATTTTTCATAAACTAGGAGTCTGAATTTTTCCAGGGAATTTAAAAATAACAAATACATCAGTTCTCAAATAGCTCTTTAACAAAACAACCCATGACAAGAACACTCGTGTGGTACTGCTAAGGTTTCTTTGCTGTCTTTACTATTCAGAAGATCAGGTATCAGAGTATGAGTCCAGATGGGCAGGTAATCTCAGGGAAATAAGACTCTTTTTTCATAAAGGGTGCCCAACGTGAGAATTTTTGAGAAGAAGCACGTGAGGTTTGCTACATGATTTGTGGTCTGGAAATGACACAGCAGTCGACTGCAGAGGAAAATTAGAAGTGCCCTTATACAGCAGCAAAATAGGTTTATATTTGGTCCTGTCCACGTTTTCTGCCACTGACACTTTCCTCTTCTCATCTTTTTGTTGCTGTTTGTTCATAATTTACGGCAGTCTAAACGGATACTTGAGCAAACTCATGTATAATTAGGATTCAGGGAATTGAGTCCTCTGTCCTGATTACTGGTTTCCCAGTAAACACAATGAGAGCATTGATCGTTTTGTTCCTTATCTCATCGGTGTTAGGCAGAACCAGAGAACATAGCGTTAGCAAGAATTGATTATAAGCCAAGCAAAAATTACTGTCCTACAACTTTGTAAAGATGATCTCAAGAGAGACAGACTCAGTGATGGATCACTGTTGCCTTTTAGTGACTTCTGGTTGTTCTGTTACTTACTTCAGCTTGTTACTCTTATTGGCTTTAACTGATCCATCTGTTACTGGCTTCTGAAGTATCTACAAATACATGGAAGAATTTTTCTTAATTCCAGTCTGTGATCAGAATGTTCCTGAACACTTGCATCTTTTCAAGGCTAGGTGGCTGCAGTGCTTTATTTAAAGGAGTTTTTGTCAAGTCCTTATGTGGATGAAGTTTATGGCGAATGCATCAAGCTCAGCCTTACAGGGTCACACACCAGCCCGCACAGGTCCTTGTCAGATAATACTAGTTTCAGACATTTCATTTAAGTTCTGATTGCCTGTGGCTTTATATATCTGACATCATCTTCCATATTTTTCCTATCTGATTGTTGTATCTCAATTAGCAGGTTACTTTGACTTGGAAATGCGCCGTAGGAGCCAGCATATTTGAGAGTGAGCCAGCCTGGTACTGGAATGAATTAATTTTAGCAATTACACATGCATTTTTATTTCATTTTTACTCAAGGGGTTCAGTTCCCCATGTTCTCTTCTTAGTGGCAGTACTAGTTGAGACAACTGACAGCCTCATTATTTCTTGTAACCCTGGCTTCAGTTCATCTCTGTTGCCAAAATGGGAGTGTAGGAACTCTTCAGAGGAAACAACATCACATAGATAGTCTGATTTAAAAAAGAAAGGAACTCACATAACTTTTCTAAGCTGTATCAATTAGTGATGGTTTGACTGGTCCCACAGAAAGCTACCAGAAACACAGGAGGAAAAGCAAAAGGCAGATGACAGGAGGAGTATGAATACCTTGAACTTGTATTGCTGCCAGGTTGGTTGGTTGGTTTGTGAGAGTTTGGACTTTGCTCCCTGACAGTTTCACTCCAGCAGAGACAGAAGTGATTGTACCAGCTCCAGTGAGGAGGAGGTGAACCAATAGTGAGAAGAAGTTGGGTGGAATAGAATGGTGGCTGGCTCACCTTGGGCTGGCTTTGCTGGTGCACCAACATCACCCAAGACAGACACCATCCTTTGTACTGACTTGAGGCATTAACAGCAGCCATGATTTTACTGCACTGCTACTGCAGTAGCTATGTGATGGTCCAGAACATAGCTAATATTTTGAATCCATTTATCAGCTATCTACTGGAGTTTCTTACATTAGATATAACAAATATATACCAAATATATAAGCTATAAAGGCTGATAAATAAAATGTAATACATTTCTTCTAAAATAATATCTTTTTCCATAAAGGATATTTATATTTCCTTCATATGGTTTTAATTTGTGATGATGCATAAATATTTTTACAGGTGTGATGCATTTTGTATACAGAACTTTATAACTTAGTTCATTACCTGTGACTTGATGTATCAAGGCATTTAATTTCCATGCTTCTATAAGCAGTTGCAGAACAAGTTTTATTTATTTCATTTACACTTCAATTGCATCCTTCTGCAAATTGCAAATTGTGTTTTTGCAGGTGTGATTTACATGCAAATTTGAAGTATGTTTTATTTACCTATGTAAAGCCAAATTTTGTGCAGAATGAGAAAGCTGAAATGACCTCAGTGAACACTTCTAAACCCATTTTATATATATCTCAGTCTTAAAGAAGGCTTATATATAGATCTTAAGAAGCTGGAGAAGTTACAGTGCGGTTTAATAGCTAAGTGGCTTAATCAGTGTTATGCTGGGTAAGTAGCATTTGAATCCCTGTACCTGTATTTTTCTAGGGATACAGTAGCTAAAAATCTGCCTGGCACACACAAAGCATGCTTCCTGGCTGCTTCTACAAGCCATTGCCACAGATTCCAGCACCTACACTAAAGCTGGAAGAAGCTTCTGTTAGGGGAAGGATTTGGTCTACGCCTAATGCAGTAAGTACCCATAAATATATGTTACAGAGGAGGATGTAGACAAGTAGTGCTGTATTACTTTAGTTAGTTTTGCATTATTTCTAAATACTATATGTACAGTAATACAGAAAATTAATTACATTCTTCCTACAGGTTTTCTGAGCATTTTCATTTTCATTTGTATGTATCACCATTTACCTGAGTGATTACATATACAAACTGTGCTGGTAGAGAATGCATAGAGAAACAAGAAAGGTTTCGATGATACCAACACATAACTACCAGTATTAGAGTTCAAGTGGAAATCATTACCGAAGCTAGAGAGCCCTTTAGTGTGCCTCTTCTTTCTACGGCATCAAAAATCTGGGGGCAGCATGTGGGACACAGATGTATTTTGAACAGTTACATTTACTAATTATATAGAGAGATACAGTGGCTAAATATGTAAGTGTCAGGTTGCTCTGGGGGCTACTAAAATAGACTATTAAAGAGGTCCACAAATATTTAAAGAAGTATTACCTCTGTGTACTAAAAGTTCATTTTTAGATTGTATAATAAAGACACGATTAGGCTTCAAAGCTCCAGCGTTAGACTTACTGAGACTCCTTGAAGGCAGAGTTCTTTCTTTATGTAAGCTGTCTTTGGGATCATTATGAAACTACCACAGTTTCCTATATGCATAGTGAAATGCAAAAAGAGCATTCTCAAGCATTAATTCAGGAACTCTATATGGACTAACATACTTTTGGGGGCTAGAAAATGCTGAAAATGGTCAAGTTTTCTTTAGCTGAAGAACAGTTTGTCAGGATGACTCATGTTTTTCTAATATGAATTAAGGAATTTAATTCTGCACAGAAAGCCATAAGGATGAGTGGTTACAAATGATAAATTTAACATGCACAAAATTGCTAGAACCTTTTCCAGTAAGTTGCTGACAGAAATCCCTCTGAGCACTTTTCTGTGGGACCAGGCTTCAGCATCTAACAGCTGCCTTGAGATGAGGTTCCTTGCTGTACCTATAAGTAGCAGGCCTCTCAGCCTGTGGATGATGGAAACTTTGAGTTAATCCAGAGGAAATATCTGTTGATGGTCTGCCTGAATTATGGCAGCAAAGCTTCTCTTTCCAAAAGTACTGTCAGACCCTTCAATGGTTTGTGACAGCACCAGCTTTGTCCTGGTATAAAATCTCTTGTAAGACTGTAGAAAGGATTCCTTTACAACATCTCTCTTTGCAGCATGTGGAAATTCACCTCTCACCCCGGTGACAACTGAGATTTTTAGATTTCTGCAAGCTGCTCCTGCATTTTTTCACCCTTCCTTCAGAAATCAGAGGGAATGTGGTAACCTAATTGTTGTTTATTACCTTGATCTCTTTGTAAAATATGGGTCATCTTGTAATTGTTAATTGCTAAAAC